GGTCCTGCCGGGTTGGTTCCGCAGCCCCGAGGGGCAGAGCTATGGGACCAAACTGGCAGCACCCCAGCTGCTCTGCCCCTGGCTTCCCCAATTCAGCTGCTGGTCAGTTTTAGCAGCGGCTGAATTGAGGAAGCCGGGGGCAAAGCAGCTCCAATGGTCCGGCTGCCTGGAGCACTTCCGGGATCCTGATGGTGCCGGACCAACGGAGTTTTACTGTAGTATTTTTGCTGCGGATAAACTCACCCTTAGACCTCACCCCAGGTTCCTTCCTAAAGTTATCAGACTTCCATCTCAATGAGCCCATCTACCTCTCCACCTATTTTCTAAAACCTCACAGCTCCTTGAGGGAAGTGATGCTGCATACTTTGGATGCTAGATGGGCCCTTGCGTTCTACAGAGATAGGACCAAGGAATTCCGAAAATAGGACAGACTTTTTGTTTCTATATCCAGCCGCCACAGGGAAACGGCCTGCGCAGTGCGTCTCCAAGTGGACTGCCAGTTGCATATACTCTTCCTACCATCTTCATAGGAGGGAACCACAGCACGCTCCACTTGTGCGGTGGCCACGTCAACTGCTTTCCTGCATAATGTACCCCTCGCAGATATATGTAGTGCAGAGACATGGTCTTCCTTTTACACCTTTGCACAACATTATGCTCTGCAGCATAATCCCTACCACATGTTAACTGATGTGGTCCTTGTCTCCTCTTATAACGGCGAGCAGTGGGTACTGCTAGCTAGTCACCTGAGCGGAGCACCCAGAGGGACACCACTCAAAGGAGAAGTTATTCATCCTGTGCAGTAATGATGGTTCTTGGAGATGTGTATCCCTGTGGTTGCTCCGCTACCCTCCCTTCCTCCACTTTGCATTGGAGTCACTTAAACAGTTTCCATTAGAAAAGGCATGGAGGGACACTCATGCCATGCGTGCAGTCAATGGATGAAAACCACATGAGATGGCAGCTGCACGTGCACGACATGTGAAGGCACTGCTAGGCAAAAATCTCCCCTCGCTGGCATGAGGATGCACCGAGACTTGAGTGGCACACCCACAAGGATATATATCTCCAAGAACCATTATTACTGTGCAGGGTGAGTAACTTCTCCACGAGAACTGGCTCCCTCCAGCACCCCAGTATATAAATGTGTAACTGCTGAAAATTAAATATATTTTAACATCCCTAATAGTCACAGTAGTGACTCCATAGTTAAAGATAGAAGAAATTGTTTTATTTCCTGATGCCCCTGTCTTCTACCACTGCCTACTGGTCTGTAAATTGTAAATCTACGTTCCCGTTAGATGTTCACTGAACTGTGCACTTACATAGTTCAGACCAGAGAACAAAAATATCATTTCCTTCTGCATGAGATTCCACTCCCTGGCACGCAACTGTGGGATGGATAAGATCAAAGACTTCAAGTTGCATGTAAAGGCAAGAGACATTTTTCCCTATTCGTACTGAACATGCAGACCAGACTTCTCATAACATGCATCTCAACAAATGGCCGGTTATTGCTATGCACCTGATATAGGTTAAATAGGCTAGTACAAAAGACAAGGTAGATCATCTTCTGTTGGTGATAGAGAAGGTTTTGAAAGATTGTGTGTGTCACAACAGAAACAAGTCCTAAAAAAGATCTCTCCCACCTCATCTCTAATACCTTTGGACCAATATGGCTACAATCACACTGCATAGTACAGAAGGCATCACTGTTTGGAAAAGGTTGATACAGTAATGATATATACATGCACATGGAGAGACATCAGTATCTTCTAATGGTAATTCATAGGTAGGGCCCTGACAATGTCAGTTATAGAATTTTTAAAATATAAACATCATGAATTGTAATACTTAAACCTGAAATTTCATGATGTTGTAATTGTAGGAGCCCTGACCCAAAAGAGGTTGTGCAGGAGGTTGCAAGGTTGTTGTAGGCGGTAGTGTTATTGCTACCGTTACTTTTGTTCTTCTGTTGGCAGCGGCATTGACTTCAGAGCTGGGTAGTTCCATCTCTAGCAGCAGTGCAGAATTAAGGATGGCATGGTATTGTATTGCCATCTTTATTTCTGTGCTGCTGCTAGCAGCGTGCTGTCTTGAGTGCTGAGTAGCCAGCCTGCAGATGCTACTCTATAGCCACCCTGTTCTGAAGGCAGCACAGAAGTAAGAGTGGCAACACCATGCGCTTCCCTCCCCTACCCTGCACGATAACTTTGGGACCTCCACTTTGAGACATGCTGTGGTCTTTCTTGAACTCTTTATAGGATAGGTTAAAAGTGTCCAAAAAACCCAGTCCATAACTCCTTTTTCAAGCCGTGAATTTGTTAGGGTCCTACTTGTAGACTGATCCATTCCATTATTAGGAGAGCATGTCCCTACTATCCTACAGTATTGTTACCCTAAGACTTTTATGCCCTGGAAAGCTTCCCCGCCTTACATTGAGTGTAACTTAATCCCAGAGTATATTAGCATGACAGTCGTTTTTCCTACAATCTTGGCTAGGGGGAGGTAAATGCTAGGAGCTTTCTGTTTTGTTCTAGTTAAATGCTAGAAGCTTTTTGTTTTGATGTCCAGTTCTCTGTGATACTCAACTGGATCCATTAATCTTATTGCATATCTTAGTAGATTTGTGATAAGCAGATGCATCAATGCTTTAAGTCATAAAATGGCACTTTCCATCTTGTTTCCTGCATATATTTGTGGTTTTAATTAGTTTGGTCTTTAACCATCACATATGAATATCATTTCAGAATTACTGGCATCCAGATAATATGCATAGTCAAGCTGTCCACGGAAACACACCTATCATAGGGACAGCTCAGTTTCAACCATAGCCTAACAACTTTTGTTTTTATATTTATAGGGACCTGATATTTATGTGGAGTAAGCTGCAGCTTAAATCTAACCCTTCGAAACAAGTATTTGTTGATCAGTGCTACCAGCTTTTAAGGATAGCTACGAATGTCAGAGTAATTTTCCCTTTCATGAAAGTCATTAAGGATGAAGTAAGTGGTGATCTTTTGTAATTTCTTGTATTACCAGTTTGACTTGCTCATTGCTATTTCATTTTCTTGTATGGTGAGCCATTGCAGCAAAGCAGGGAGAAAAGGATAGCTAAACAACACAGATCTCAAATTTAGTGAGGCTCCAAAAAACTAGGTTTTTTTCCTACTATTTAAATGAATTTTTCTCATATTTTTGTCCAGGTTGGGAGGAGCCCACATAAAGGGCAAAGTGACACTACAACATTTAACAATAAATAAATGTACAAAGTAAACTATAAAAAAGTTGTATAACTTTTTACAGTTCTCATAGTCTTAGGTGTTGCAACAAGAGTAATATGCTTGCATGCAGAAATCTGAAACTCTGTTCCTTTTGGAGTTTCTTCAGCAACAGCCACTCTACAATAAGCTCTATGGGATACTAGAACTCAGCATGTCAATAGCTCAATACAAGTAACTTGTCAACAGCATTCAGAGAGGAGTTAAAGGTCCAGTGATCTAAATGATCAAAGCATCTATAGATTCAATAAATGGGAAGGAGAAAAATTGTACATGTATATTTCTCATCTAAAAGATACGGTTGGCTGATCTTTAGTATTTTTGTATAAGTTCATTTAACAGTGGCTTTTAATGTTTCGTCATTGGCTGTGATTCTGTTGTCATTTTGATTAAATAGTATATTCTATATAATTGCTTTTCACTTGGATTAAATATATCACTGTTTATTGTTAAAGGCTTTCACTAAGCCTCTCATTTGTCCTCTGTCTATTGGCACCCTAATTCCAGAAGAGCACATCTCCTAAAACTTTTTGGTACACTTCCTTAGAGAAAACTATATATTTTCCTTTTTGGGGCAAATATGGATTTTGAATTGTCTAAAGGGTGGTGGTATCAATTAAATCATTGGTTGCCAAACTGTTATCCATCCACTACAAGTGGCTGTTGCAGTATTTACTGGTGTTCTGCAAACATCTGGCTAGTTACATGGCTGTTTCCTTAGTTTGTATTAAAAGGAGCCAGAAATACTCTAAATGTTTTTTCTAATACTCTTTTGCAATGAAAGCAATTGGTGTAGTTGACAAGGATGTTATTACTTTGCCAGTAGGAGAGCTGATGATCCAGGCAGTCTCAAATGACAGGAAGTGTGATCTGCACGAGAGTCTCCACTAAGACAAGGCCCATACTATATTCATTATCGGAGAGAGGCAGCAAGGGGGAGTGGAACAGCATCCACAGCTGGGGGGAGCCAACTTAAAAGTCTGTTTTCCCCCTCCCCAGCACCGTCTTCTGGGGAGAAGGGGTGGGGAACTGGCAGTGCTTCTGCCTTTTGAAATGTAGCAAGACCAGGGCTCTTGCACGTTTCAAAAGTAAAGAGCTGCCAGGAGCGCGGGGGATTCAGTCCCCCACTGGTCCAATGCTCCTGGCACTTTGCTTTTGAAATGTACAAGAGGCCCTCCCGGGACTCTTGTACATTTCAAAAGCAGGGAGCATGAGGCCAACAGGGGAATGCTCGAGCCCCCCTGGCTGTGCTCCCTGTGGTGCTTCGGCCTTTGAAATGTAGCAAGAGCCACCAGGGCTCTTGCTACATTTCAAAGGCGGAGGCGTCCTTATTGACAAATCGAATAGTGGATGCAAATTACTTCAACTATTCAATTAGTTGATTCATCTAAATTTACTAACCTTAATGTACTATAACAGATTTGCTTCATTTGTGTATAACGTTCATTGTTTGCACTGCAATAAAATAGTATAATTTTTTTCCTCATGGTTAGGTTAATCTGGCATTGCTCTGTTAAGATTGAGCTAAACACCTGCTTTTTAGATTTTTAAATGCTGCAGCAAATATGAGACTATCTGTGTATTTGTTAATATATCGATATTGAAGGTGCATGCAACATATAGCTATAATAAAAACTCGTTCCCAGGCTTTTCATTAATCACAATCCCTTATTTAAAGTAACTGTGTGTCAGATAAAATGTGAAATTTATGAATGTTCAGAAATACAGGTGAGGGCCTAGCTTATATTTTAAATTAGTATTTTTCAGGGTGATAGCTTACCATTTCAGAAATGTCAGGCAATTGCTAGATGTCAAATTAGGCTCCCAAAATCACTTGTCACCTTGGAAAAGTTAGACCCACATTTGTAGTTTTCATTTTTTACCCAGTGTATATATATGTTAAGTGAGTCAAAATGGAGACATATTTAGAAATCTTGACGAAAACACTCCATTGTATTCTTCTTTCCTTAGAAGTTGTGCAAACATTTATAATCTGCCTAGTTATACTGTGAAATATAGAGCGATTAAACAGGATACAGGGAGCAGAATAGTGCTTTGCATAATGTTCCCTTGCATGCAGTTATTTACACTGTAATTAAAATATGCCCAAACCATTCTCCAGCTGTCCTTTTTGACTATAGCAATGTGCAGTGTAAAAATATCTGAAGCTATATTGACAGCACTAGATACTCAGCCTGCAATGCAAACCAAATGTTATGTTTGGGCTTAGCTGTACAGGTTGGATCTCCCTGGTCTGGCACCCTCATGACCTGATTGGTTCTGGATGAGGGATTTTTTCAGACCAGAGGAGGCCATTTCTGGCTGCCCTGCCTCCCATCCCGCCCACTCCACTGAGCTTCACAGCTCCCTCATGCAGCCTAGCTGGACTTCATGCCAAGCTTCCCAGATGCCCTCCCGGAAAGCCCAGCTGAGCTGCTCACCAGGTTTCCTGGCTTCCAGCCTTCCCTCCACCTTGGCAGCCCAGCTGGGCTGTGCACTGGGCTCCCACCCCCTCCCATCTGCAGTCCAGCTAAGCCACATGACGGGCTCCCAGTCTCCCCCGGCCCCCTCTGCGTCATGCTGGACTTCCCCACCCCACACACACCCTCCCCATCCCATCCCACACACTGCACTGTGACTCTGATACTAGAACATCCAAAGTCTGATTGTTGGGCCAGAGTGTCCTGGTTTATAGAGATGCAAGCTATAATGTATTTTATTGCTTTATTTACATATCACTTAATCAAATCTGCTTTCGGAATACTTCACAAACTTAAACATTTATATTAACAACTGAGATGCATTCTAAACTCCACTTGTCTTTGAATATTTTAGTATACGTTGAAATGTATTGTTTTAGAACTGAATTTTTGTTTGCTCTTTCTTTTTCCTTCAGACAAAATATTTTGCCTGTCACAAGCCAACAACAAAAGCAGGAGCTGTATAATGAATCTTAATTTCTTTTTCTGTAGGTTGGGGAAGATGGTTTGCAGATTTGCGTTGAAATATGTGGATGTGCTTTGCAGTTGGACCTTCGTGAAGATCCAGTCATGAAATGTCTCATATATAAAACGATTGCTCATTTTTTGCCAAATGATTTGGAGATACTCAGAATTTGTGCGCTTTCAATTTTTTTTCTTGAGCGCACCATAGAATCATATTACACTGTTGAACTTCTATACAAATGTGCAGATGAAGAGTATAATGAGCACACTAGTTCGGTTCAAAATCGCGTACGTTTTGAGTTGCTTCCAATTTTGAAGAAAGGTTTGTTTTTTGATCCTGAGTTTTGGAATTTTTTGATGATCAAGCAGAATTGTTTATCGCTTTTGGGGGATAAAGCATCTGTTGGCTTAGGTGAAAGTACACTGGAAAATTCTACTGCCACTACAAAGAAGCCGATGGAACATCAGGATTTGAGTGAAGATCTTGTCTCTTTAGCAGATCTAAGTAGTGAGGAATTTGACCCTGAAGACCCCTCTGGAGCCCAATCCAAAGGTCATGCAAGAAAGAACCATGCAGCTTTTGGATTATCTAAAATGGATCATAATGTACCAAGGCATCGGTGTGCATTATGCAATAGAGAATTTCTTGGTGGTCATATTGTGAGGCATGCACAGGCTCACCAGAAAAAAGGCAGTTTTTCATGTGTAATATGCTGTAGGAAGTTTCGGCAAAGAGGACTCATGCTGAAACACTTAAGGAATCATGTTAAGAAAATACAAAGACAGCATCTTGCTGCTACCCATCAGGATGATCCGGAAACCCCTGCTTTAAATGAAGTAAATTGCTCTCAGGCATCAGTCTCTTTCGAAAATGGGAATTCCAATAGTTCTAAAGATAATGAACCAGAGGCTGCAGCAGATCCCAGTACTGAGATAGAAGTACAAAACCATGACCAAGTATTGGATGTGGCTGAAAATGATGTATGCATACAGGATGATATTCTTGAAAATGGCAGTTGTGACAGCTGTTTAAATAATGCTCCTGAGCCTTTAACTATGGAGACTTTGCCTGAGGGTGGCGATAGCCCTAGTCAAGAGTCTCCTATACTTCATAAGGTAAATGGAGCTTTATGCTCTCAAAAAGATCTGGATGTTATGGATCAAGAAGGTAACTTCAAGTGCCCTGCCAACAGTTGCATTAGAGTGTTTAAAAAAATAAGATTTCTCAATAAGCATGCAAGAAAAGCTCACCCAGCTGATCTTAAGGTACAGCAGCATATAATGAAGTGGAATAAAGGAAAATGTCGGTTCTGTCAGAGAAAATTTGCAGATTCTCAGCATTTCATAGACCATCTGAAGCGACACGTATATCCAAACGTTTACTTTTGTCTACATTTTAACTGTAATCAGAGATTTAAGCTGTCCACAGAGCTTGCAGAGCATACAAAAAGTCACAATGTTTTTAAAGCTCAGTGCAATTTTGCAGAGTGCTGCGAACTTTTTGAAGAGCTTCCTTTGCTGTATGAACATGAGGCTCAGCATTATTTAAACAAAACACCTGAGTGTACTAAAGTAAATGAAGAAAGTTCTTCAGATACTCTATCAGAGTCAGTTGGTGGTTTCCAAGAAAAAGATGCATCTAGTAGCGAAAAAGAAACTGTAGATTTACCAGTTCCGACCTGGAAGGCAAGGAAAGACTCTACAGAACCAAAGACATATATCCAGAGTATTGAGAAGAAAACATACAGTGTAATTCAGAATGGGAATGAAAATTCATCTGATGTTACTGCTACAGTTTTAAGCTTGATAGACCAAAAGATGCCTATAGTACAGCCAAATTCTGAAAACTGTAATGTTCGTGACCAACTGGTCAATGGGCACAGTGAATTGGAACAGACTTGTTCAACTTCAGCAGGTGCAGCTTTGGACAGAGTGGCAGATGAAACAAGGACAGAAAATGGGTCAATACCAGTTTTACAGAATTGCAATGATATACCACAAAATAATTCTGTTGCAGTATCTCAGTCACCTTCCAAACCAAATCAGACAACAGAAAACACTTCATATGGCTTAATTTTGACAAAACCATACATTAGACCGTTGCCTCCGAGTTACCTTGATGAACGATACATTAGCATGCCAAAACGTAGAAAAACTGTAACTGATAAAGTAGATGCCCATTCTGAGCAAGATAAAGCTAGTAACAAATCAACAGAAAGATTTAGATGTGGGAACTGCCTGACCATTTACTGTAACTCAGAAGCACTTGAGGCTCACCTTGCACAAAAGAAATGTCAGACGCTCTTTGGATTCGATTCAGATGATGAAAGTAAGTCTTAAAAGGCTTCTAGATATGTTTAGAGATAGAAACTAACAGAGAAATGGCCCTTAGAAACAGTCAGACTTCCAGACAGAGAGGAAGGGAAGATAAATAGAGCACATAACCAATTTCAATATGCTAGAGTCTTAAAAAAACAAACCCAAAAAACTAGTTGAATTGAGTGGTAATTACCTGCATAAAAACAAAGTATTTTAATAAACTGGAAGCAGTTACATTTTTCTCCGCATGTACAGAATGAATCATGATTTCCGTATTCGTGCACGTAATAAAATTCAAGTGGTGGGGTGGGCTCAGGGTTGAGGGACTTAGAATGGGGAGGGGGGGAAAGGTGCAAGACATTAGGTATGTGTGTGAAGGCTCTCTAGTGGGGCCAGAGCTGAGAAGCTCAAGGTTGGGGCAGAAGGCTGGGCTGCAGGGGAAGAGGTGGTGTCTAATTGGGGGTATGGGGTGGGGCTGGGGAGGAGGGGCTTGGGGTGCAGGCCGCCCAGGGGCTACAGTGGTGACAGAAGACTCCCTGCAGCTCTCTTCCCTCTACAGCAGCACCTTAGCTAGGGAAAAAGGCCCCCCCGCTGCAGCAGGTCTGTGCCAGGTCTGAGGCTCCTCTCCAGGGGCCAGGGCAAGTCCAGGGCAGATCCATGCTGGGGCTGGCATGGAGAGGCACTTCTCTCCACCGTAGCCCTGAGCACCTGCATGTTGCTTCAAGATCATGCAGCTTAGGAGGAACTTAGATCGGACGATAAACTCAACCTAAGTATTTAGGAAAAGAAATGAGATTTGCACATCAGCAGATAGCTTTGATGAGAGAGCATTCAGACAAGATAGACGTGGGTAGTTAAATCCTATGCATTTTCTGCTTGCATGTTCAAAACTAAGCATATTGACAAACTCAAGCAAAATTCCAAATTAAAGCACTATTTGAATGGGAACAAAATGAAACCTGTACATGATCTGTTTTACAGGTGCCTGATTAAATGTTGTGGGAAGATGCATCAATTGAGGAGTGGTGTGAGAGAACACTACATGAAGAAGCATCAGTTTGCTGTTTCCCAGATGGCCTTAATCATAAAGCAGACTTCAGTTACTAAAGAAAAACGTGACCTTGATACAAGACAAAGCACATTTTCTAGACAGAACTCAGAGGAATAGTAGGAGCTGTGCAGGTTTTGAATCCAGAAAGGTTGCTCTACAAAGTCCCCAAAGTACCAGTTATCTAGAAAGCCCCATGAATTCCCAGATCAAACAACAGTACCATCTAGTGTGTCTGGCATGAGTACTTAAGAAAACACTGCTGTAAAATGTGCCACTGGTTTAAAAGTTGTAATAAGAGGAAACCTTTCCTCTCCGTGCTCTCAATTTGTTTTTAATGAAAACTCTTGGAGGTCATTTAAACTTGTGTTTAGAATTCAAAAGGAAGAGAGTAGGGAAAATTTTCAATAGCCAAAATGTTCATGTATAGAACATAAGGAAATTTTCATCAACAGTTTGATATTGGAAATATCAGCTGAACAAAAACACAGTTCAGATGTGTTTTAAAGCCCAAAGTACATGGTGAAACTGCACATATTGACTTTTTGGAAATGTTAAATAAGTCCATTACAAACACCGAGGGTGCATCTACACTGCGCTGTAGGTCAAAATAAGATAGGCAAATTGCATATCTTCTTCAATGTTATTTCAAAATAGCTTATTTCGAAAATTGGTGTGGTCTACACAGCACTTATTTTGAACTAAAACACTATTCCAAAACATCCCTTATACCTCATGGAATGAGGTTTACAGGGACATTGGAATAGCGAGCCTGTTATATTTTGAAATAACAGGCGTGCTCTGTAGATGTGGAATAACTATTTTGGGATAGCTCCGGTATCCTAATATAGTGCTGCAGTGTGGAGGTAGCCTGAGAGATTTATTACAAGTAATATGTCTAAAACAGCTGGTCATAGTAATGCATCAAAATCAAGGCTAAAAAATAAATGTGTAGAGTGAAGAAATTTGAGCTGGAGTATAGAACTAAAATAATACCCAAACATAAAAGTCCTTCAATTCGTAGTATCACAGTGATGGAGCATCGAGGGCAAATCTACACTACAAAATTAGGTTAATTTGTTTAATTTGACTTTGAGCATCTGATTTAATAAATGCAATTTTGCATGCCCCCACTAGGTCTCTTTGGCTGACAGAGCACATCATCACTGCCCGGGGGTTGCATTGACTCAAGGAGTGATGCACTGGGGGTAGCTATTCCACAGTCCCTGCAGAAAATTGGAATTCTGGGCTAAGGTCTCAATGCTTCATGGGATAAAAACATAGCTGTGGGTGGTTATATAGGTACATGTCATCAGAACTGTCTGTGGCTGAGAATCAGCCTTGTCCTGTTATGCTTGTCTAAGCTCCTTTATTGTTATGTGGCATTGCTGTGTGTTCCAGGTGTAGCCCTTATACACCACCACACCCTGTGCGATTTTAGCATAGATACCAGAATTTCTTTTCTGGTTTGGAGCTCTTCCCTTCTTTCCCCTTTCCCCAGTAGTCAGATCCACTGTCTCCTGAACTCTCTGTGCTGCAGGCATTTGTGACCCTGGGCATACATACTCACCTGTGCTGGTGAGCTCTATATGCTGCTCCAGTGGGAAAGTAACATTCAGAAGTTCCTGGGACTACTTCTGCTCACTTGGCTGAAGAGCACTGGAGTTCAAAGTGCTTGCCAGATCAGCGGAGCCCTCTGGATCATCACCTGGAGGCCAGAAATTGAATTACAATATGCAGTGTTTCCATTGCCCTTAATTTGAAGAGTGAATGTAGCCTCAGGCTATGTCTTCACTAAGCAAAGATCGATTCTGCCACGATCTATTCAGGAGTTGGATTTAGTGGGTCTAACGGCTAAATCAAACTCCAAATGCATCCCTATTGGCACCTGTACTCCTGCTTTTTGCAAGGAGTAAGAGAAGCCAAAGGGAGCATTTTCTCCTGTCACCTCTCGCTGTGGAGACAGCGGGAAAATTTATCTTAAGGTAAGTTGACTCCAGCTATGTAATTACCCAACTCCAGATATGTTATCTTAATTCAGCCTTCCCCTTGAGTAAAACCTGAACCCAGGTCTACACTATACTCCTTCAGGTGGAGTACTTGGGTCAATTTTAACAGCCCTTTAGGTCGATGGGAGGGACTGGGTAGTGTGCACACACTTGTTACAAATGTAACCTAAAGTTGAACATGTGGACCTAAGTTTGTAGTATAGACCAGCCCTGAGTTTTGATTTACCAAGTAATGCTCTGTCATGTAGAGAAGGGGTAGGGAAAATCTAACTGATCAGCCTTAAACAGTATAACAGTGAGTAGGAGTCTCTCTGAGAACTTTGTTAATAAAAAAAAGCAATATAACCTTGGGCCAACAATTGGCTGCTGATAAAAATGACATCCAGAATGAATCTGTAAGGCTGGAAAATTTCCACATGTTGCCTGTGTCTAATAGACCTAAAGACACAAAACAAACAGGCATTCTTGAGTTTTCATCAAAGGAGATATTGCAAATGCTCAGATTTTCAACCTCATTGATAAATTGCCCACTAACAGTGCTGCTTCTTTTTTAGATTACACTAAATTCATTTCAGACCCTGCTTGTTGCTGTTAGCTAGATGGCTGGGTACGGAGTGGTGGAAGCTATCATTGATGAAAATAGTGGGCGTCAGTCAAACTTTCACAGTAATGTAGGACAACACAAGGGCTTTCCCAGCTCAATTAGTTTGCTCATTGAATGATTCATCACAATATATTTACAGTATAGTAAGGCAGCCAGCTCACTTACTCAGCAGATTACCTAAGAATTGCTAACAATAAAAATATGGATACGAGATCTGTTTGTTGTAGCTACAGCTTACATTTGCAAACAAGGGTTTCATTGTAAAGTAGGTTGTTAAATATTTCTGGCACTTAAAACACTATAATTGAAAAAGGACTCTGCTAGCAATCCCTTGCGAAATCAAATAGATGTTCGTGTAACTTCTCCCTCCATTTTCCTTTGCTTGGAGGAAAAAAAAGAATGCAAACTCAGATTATTACTTTTTGAATCTTAGAAAAATGGTTCTTTAACTTAGCTTTAGCCAAAAGTAAACGGGTATAAAATTATGATCACAGGTATGTGTGCATTACATTAATACCAATGTTTGGGGTACATCTAGAAAGATTTGTATGACATTTGAGGCACCAAAGAATGCATCTTTTATTTACAAGATATAAAATGCATCATATGTATAAAATTGATTTTTTTTTTTAAATAAATGAAACCAAGGGAACATAAGTCAGTCAAATGTATTTCCTTACTTGCACTTATCTATTGTAAAGTCTCTACCAATTAACTTTTAAGAGCCTGGTTATATTCTTTGGAATATTCCCAGGCTCCCCTTTATTTTTTAGTTTCAGTTTGTTTAAATTGCTTAAATACATCTGGAAAAAAATAACTTTAGAGTATTAAGTTATAGAAACTTGAAAACTTGATTAGTATGTATTAAAACTCTAAGTGTACTTAATCATTGCTTTTCATCATTATTACAGCTCTATGTGTTGCTTTAAAAACATGATTGGGATTTGTATTTTCTTGGTTTAAAGTGTCGCTTATGTGCATCTATGTACATGCATAAAACTGTGACCATAATTTTTCTACCTGTTAAGCTCATTTTTGTTTGAAGATGCTTGTTGCGCACAGCCATCATCTTAAATCACATGTTCAGTATACGTAATTTTGAAAACTCTAGATTTTATTTTACTTAGGCAGACACTTAAAGGTAGGGCCCAGTGAAATTCACGGCCATGAAAAATGCGCCACAGACCATGAAATCCAAGTGTCTCCCTCCTGCTCGTTCTTTGAAATCTGGTCTTGTGTGCTATACCCATACCATACAGATTTCACCAGAATTTCTTAACTTGGGTGTCCTGTCTCAAAAGGGAGTTGTGGAGGGGGAGGGTCACAGTGTTCCCACCCATTCTTTTGTGCTTCCAGCATCAATGCAGAAGTAAAGATGGCAATGCCATGCCACGTCATCGTTCCTTCTGTGCTCCTGCTGGTGGGGTCACTGCCTTCAGAGCTGGGATCCTGCATAGCAGCCACTGATCTCCAGCTGCTCAGCTGTGATGGCATTGCTGCCACCTGCAATGACACAGAAGTAAGGATAGCAGTATCCTTACCTCCCAGAACCTTTCAACCCCCTTCCCAGAAGTTTTTTTTGGGTTGGGACCCCTACAATTACAGCACTGAAATTTCAGATTTAAATAACAGAAACGTAATTTATGATTTTTAATATCCTATAACTGAAGTTGAGCAAAATGCACCATGAATTAGGCAGGGCCCTACTTAAAGGAATAAGTGGCAGGTAACATTTTGAAGTGCTGATTTTAGTTCAAAATATGCGTAGCTATCTCTTTGTATAATGTTACCCGTTTCCATACTCAGTTGCAATATTAAGCAACTATAATTTGAAAATAAAATGTTTTTATAATGTGTGGGATTATTATACATGCTTTATAGGATTGAGAAGAATTTAAGTCACCATCCTAAATTGAGTTTGCAATTTCCAGGGGTTAAACAAGTTCCTAATCTAGAATTTATTTTTACTCCAATATTGGTACATGGCTTTGATCCAGCAAAGAATGTGTGTAACTTTAAGCATGCAAATAGTCCCATTGAAGCTAATGGCAGTATTGGTGTGCTTAATGTTGTTCATGCATCTGAGTGCTTTGCTGGGTCAATGTCTGTGTGCTTTGTGAAAATTGTCATATATTAATCATCTTCCTCCAAGTGGGCTTGACTTGGCAGTTCCTTTTGTAGAGCTCATCTGTTACTCCTTGAACACGCTCCATTATAAAGGTCATGTAAATCCTAACTTTCAAAAGTTGCTGCTTGATAGGCACCCTTTACAATAATTGTGCAGTGTAGGTTGAAAATGGTCATATCTATGGGGAAAGGTTACTGGTACTTGGGTTATTTAGCCATATTCATTAAAAAAAACCTATAAATTGTATAGTTTGGGTAATTTATAACATTAAACTTGTGATTTTAATATCACAATGAAGGTTCAGCTGTACTCATTTATTTTATTGTTTAACATCAGTGATATGGATGAAAGACTTAAAAGGGGTAGTAGTGTTACTTTTTTAATTTATTTGGTACTGTATAACACCTTTCTGACTAAATGCAGTGTATGCATTTTGGGACTCTGTTAATTTGTAAAAGCTATTAAAATTTCAGCAAGAAAGGAAATTTGTGCTTCCTTGTTGAATGTTAAATTATTTTACTTTTCGTTTATATAAGAGTACAAATTAAAACTGAGCCATCAAACTGCAATAAATCAACAGTAGTGTTTCATTTTAAAAACCTTTTTGTACTGTACATAGATTGTTCAATAAAACATTGTCTTTGTTGTTAATATTAAGTGAGCTTGTAATCTGTTCGGGAACCTGCCTGATAAAAGTATTTGACCACAGTATCTACTGTTACTTGGTACGCAGTGTAATACTATATTGCAGTGGTTCTCAAACTGCGATACGTGAACCACTGGTGGTCTGCAGCCATCTTTCAGGTGGTCCATGGCTTGAGCTCAGTCACACACCCCTTTCACCCTTGAGTCGCTCCCTCTTCCCATAGCAGGGACCTTGTGCTGGTGCTCCAGCCTTGTGCCCTCCTCCCTGCAAAGTTGGAATGTCAGTGCTGGCTTTCCTCTGGGTGGGGGGAATCCACCTGATCCACCTTGAGGGGAGGAAGCAGAGCCAGAAGGAGCTTTGCGTGCGGCCATTCCCCCTCCCCTGGTTGGGGAAACAGCAGTGCATTGATGCGCTGCCTGGAGGCTTTCCCTGCTGCTTCTATTGTCCGGAATTTGGCCAATGGGAGCAGCAGGAAGCTGTGCCTGGAATACAGTTTCTAGGAGCGGCGCAGGGCATAAAAGCAAGTTAAGTGCATTGCCCTTTCTGTCATGTCCAGACCCTCCACCCCCATCTTGCTCCTGCACTCTTCCCTCCTAAGCCATATGTTGCACCTTCTCTTGGGCCAGACACCCTACTCCCAGCCTGCTTCTGCACCCATTTCCCACTTAGACCTCACACCTCCATCCCTACCCACTCACTAGCAGCACTGTCCTTGCACATTGAACCCCTCAATTTTGTCTCTACCCCAGAGCCTGAGGTGGTTCCACAAAATCCACTAATTTCAGAACCCCAGAAGAGTAAATCCGGACCATAGGAAGCCCTGAACCTCCATCCTCCCTGTCCTCCCCGCTCCCACCGTGGGGCTGGAGTGCCAAAGGAGTAAAGCAGTGGTCCCCAACCTTTCATGGCTGCCGGGCGTCGGGGGGCAGGGCCGCTTATGCGCGGTGCTTCCGGGGGTGGGGCCGTGCATGTGCCGCGGGCCTGGGGGTGGAGGCCGCCCATGCGCCCTGAGCCCAGGGCTGGCACTACGCATGGGCTGCGCCCCAGGGGTAGGGGCTGCCCATGCGCCTTGGGCCTGCACCATGCATGTGCCACATGCTGGGGGCAGGGCCAGTCCAGATGTTTCAGCGGGCACACACAAATGCCCCAGCGGGCACCATGGCACCCCGCAGGCACCGCGTTGGTGACCACTGGAGTAAAGTGTCTCAACTGGGGGCCATATTAGTGAGGCTTGGGGGGTTTTGGAGGCGGTTTTTGCTTCTCACTTGTGTAGTTCCCAACTGATTTTTCTGTGGATCAGTAGCACCTGATCCGAAAAGGATTCCCTGCCTCACCATCAAGAAAACATTGACACCTTTATTTAAAATGAAGTTTCATAAATGAACATGAGAAACTTAAAGCACTTACGCGGTTTAATTTAATATTCTTTCTTACTGGTTAAATTAAACTGTTCTCCCCAGCTGCAGCACTAGTAAAATGGCTTGAGCATAATTATGTAATTAGCAGTGAGTTTCCATTAGCAACTGGTGGTCCATGGAAAGGTTTGCATTGAGCCAGGTGGGCCACTGGCCAAAAAGTTTGAGAACCATTGCTTTAGGCCTAAGCATCTTTCTACACCTATTTGATAAGCAGTAGTTCACTTCAATAGATACCATATGAGGACACAGGTCAAAGACTTGAAGATTGAAGAGGCTGCCAGCTACTTTTCTCTGTGGGATCAGAAGAATCAGAGTCTTCCTGGGGAATTAGGATGTCCCCAGGATTTGCTAGCCTCGTCTATCTTTGCTGTTTCTGTTTTATTCCTTTAGGTTGTAGTTTAAGATACGACTGGACAACATGAGATGGATCACTTGATAATTGCTCTGTTAAGTTGATTCCCTTTGAAGCAAATGTCATTGGCAGTTATGGGAAGACAGGATAGTAGGCTAAATGGACATAGATCTGACCCAATGGCCATTCTTATGTCAGTCAAATGGTGAGGAGAAAACCTTATGGACAGATCTTGGTTCTCTGCTTCAGTAGTAGCCTCCTATTGGGTTCTTACTAATAGGGTGGGCACAGGATTTACAAGTGACTCTCCTTATGTTAATGTTTTCACCTATCTGCTATCAATCTACCTAATGACTGTAAGTGATTTACACTTCCCATACCAACTCTTACCTTCCATTCTGTACATACAATGAAGATAGCTAATCTCAGTGCCATTTCTCTATCAGGGTAAGAAGCCTTATGGAGACAGGAGATGTGGAAGTGATATATCTGCCTTACTAAGGCTTTTGATATGATCTCATGATTTTCTATAAACAAATGTAGTACACGCAAACCTGCTGAATCCCTTTTCTGTTCTACATTTCTATGGTTAGCATAAATTGTTTGCTATGTACTATGCTCAATTTTTATTTAAATTTGGTACCTACTTTAAAGCCTTTGACACTGTCAGAGCAGAATAAAGCCCTGCTCCTCCCATCACTTTCCCAGGAACCTCTTGAAGGCTTTGGATCCTTTTTTATCCTAGTCTTAACCATGGGAGGAGTTAACTACTCTATTCAGGGTAAAGCCTATTAGTTGGCATTCTCCAATAAACCCTTTCCTATTGCTTTTCCTCAAGAATCTTAGGT